CGGTGGGAATCTCCATACGAACTCAGCGCCTTCACGCTCTCGACCACCGAGCCGCCTTAAAGTATATTGACTATTTTTCAGGTCCTTGTACCACTGAATTAATACAGATTTCGAATAAACATCAAGTTTATTCATTACATGGTGGTCAACTTTACAAAATATCTACAGTATAATTCTCTACATTTGTATAATTTCTCGTCTCCGTTATTTGAATGTACTCTTCCATTTATCCTTTATGACACTCAATTGGACGTTATTCAATTGCTACCACAGTTTATCATCTTCTTCCTGCAAGAAATGTATATAGAATCGAAATATGAATTTAATATTGAATTGATTGAATTCATGAATAATACTCACCATCACATAATCACGTTCATCTGATGAATTTTCCTCATCATAATAATCAATTGGAAAGACTATACATCAGTGGTACTCCTTGACGAGATATTTTCTCAATCTTCTTGTATGGTTCTGGTACTTGTGATAAGTATACAACCTCCCTGGGGATATATCCACTTCTTCTGTACTAAATGATCCAAAAATTGCAGAGAGTCCTGAGAAAAAGAGACGAACTTAAGCAATGATTTCATACGGTGTGTTGAATCATTACCAAATTTAGTACTAAATTACAACTCGATATTGAATACAGTGATTACATAATCGACTTACCAAAATCACTTCATTGCAGAATAGGTATAACGTGAAACGATAATATCAAAATATTATAAAGCCACAACACAAAGAACAAAATAAGACGCCAGCAACAAAATCTCATGTGGACGCTGTCGCCCTGCAAATACCAATGGGAAGATCACAAGCTCATTGTCAACCCTTTCAAAGAAGGTTGGTTGATTTCAACCTACTGTCCGTTTGTCTACCAACTATGACAATGAACGAGCTGTAATGATATATTAGTCATACAACATAATATAGTTTAATTACTATCTTTAGAGTGATTAGAAATAGTTGCAGGTTGATTTTACCTTCCTCTTCGTTTGATTACCAACTTCAACAGTGAGCAAGCTGTAATGATATTTTAAATACGATATAATATAGTTGAAATAATATCTTTAATTTGATTTGAAATACTTATATGTTGATTATAACTTCCTATTCGTTTGTCTACCAACTATAACAGTGAGCGAGCTATTATGATATTTCATTTTTTGGTTGACGTTGAATTTGTTCATGTACAATTATTCCTCAATTGTTTTGACGATCACCTATAATCATTGAATGTACAATATTTGTTGTTTTATTCAACAATTATAATGATGTTGTTGATTGAACACATTTTTTTGCCAATTCAACCCATAGAAAGCAACCTGGCTCCTCTGGAGGTCTGGGATGATCCGGGAGGGGGAACTCAGAGGTACCTCATGAATGGAAGGAAATCGCCGCCCCCCTACAGACAAGAACTGACGGCTCCATAGAGCTAGCTCCCTGAGTCCAAAATCCAAAATCCATAGTCAAACTGATTAGTTGTTACAATGAGTGAACAGCGAAAAGGAAAGGCATTGACTATGAGTATTATATTAATTGTTTTTTAATCGAAAGCCTCCATCAGGAAATGCCTCAACATAAGATTGATTATATTTTCTACCTTACGACTTGAAAACCTACCTAAGAAATTCGGTTGGGGAGAAAATTGAGCTAGCCAATTTGAATATCCATAGAGAAGTCAATGTTGACCCAAAAGATGCGTCCTCTCACTTCTAAATCAAATGAGACAACGAAAAATAGATTTTTTGTCCTGATATGAAGTTTATAGTGTAAACCAATTTTTGTGATAATTTATATAATATACTTATATCCATTCGAAAGTGTTCGTTTGTTTTTCAATTGTTTTATAATATTCTTGATAGTATACAGGGTGTCCCATAAACATACCGACAAACTCCAAGGGATGGTAGAGGGCATCCAAATAAACATTTTTGCTCGATAAACATAAGTCCGGAAACTCTTCGTTTTCGAGATACAGGGTGTTGAATTTTTTTTTAAAAATCCATTTTTTATCAATATCGTAAAAACGATTAAGTCGAATTTAATAAAATTCTCACAGATTATTGATACATTTATAAGGTATCTTTTGGAGCTATTAGAATTTGCCCAATAATTTCAGGGGCGTGTCCACGGGCTATATCGGATAGTTTTTGCACAAAAAAAATACCGCCCAGTAGATTTCTTGTAATTATGATAATTTTTTTTAAATGAACAACTAAAAATGAAACTTTTTTGTCCCTTAAAATTTTTCCGTATCTACCTTCGTTTTGAAGAAAAAACAAACCATATCTCTTACATCTGTGAAAAAAAATTAAATGCTTCAAAATTATACCTTACATTGTACCGATGCGTTTATTGAAACATCGAAATACTAATAAAACTTCCAATAACTTTTTTTTACTAATCATTAATTATTATTAATGACTTTTAATCATTTTTTGTTTTGTAATTCCGGATTTATGTTTATCGAGCAAAAATGTTTATATTGATTTCCTCTATACCATCCCTTAAAGTTTGTCGGTATGTTTATGGGACACCCTATATAAGAATCAATAATTATTAAGTTTCTCCATTCAGCTTTTTTCGTGAAAATTTCAATAATTCAAACTCAAAATGAATACTATTGTACATTTTCATTTAATTATGGTTTGTATACATCAGGCACATTGAAAACGTGTGTTTCCCCACTAGAAAGTGATTCTGGTTGCGCCACTGGCAGCCATGGAAGCCATTCGATACCTGAGAACCTCACTGCACCATACTCATCATACAAGAATAATCCAGGTCCGTCGTTCGCAGGCTAATACATACATACCGAGATACATACATATATATATACAAGGTTGTACCAGCATCAAATTGAGCTTTTATCGTAAACGAGAGCAAGCAGTGCTCCACTCTTCAATGTTATTTCTCTTCGGTGCTCTACCAACGTATAGCCGTAGGTATTGAAATTTAAAGAGGTCCGGTAATTTTTTCTTGTCTTCCATATATAGTTTTTGCCACTGAACTATTCACGATGTCATATATCAATCATAAAATATGCCATTGACAGTATCTTGATAATATAAATGCGTTGCATCATACAGTTTTCCGTCGTACTAATAAAATAATCATTGAATGTTCACTGTTCGACGGCACAGACTAGGTATACTTCTTATAGATGGTGGACAAAAAAAGACTTATACGACTCCTCTATATTTCAATACCCTAAAATTGGTATACCTATAATAGCATTGAAGAGAAAGATAGAAAAGGAGAGAACTTCTTTTTCACGACAGCAGAGAGCTGAATATACATTTATAACTGCATACAGATTCAAAAAGAACTTTTGAACGAACATCCCGTAGCTCAGCCATCATCCAAGCTGGAAGATCGTTTGAACATATCTTGCAATATCGAACATTTAAGGTAATTGTTGAGGTGGAATGAAGTCTTTCATACTGCCAGAAAAATATTTGATTTCATCATCCCCCGGTTGTTTCCAGAATATATAGTGATATCTACCCCAGATTCATCCCCCCGAGCGATGAAACGTTTTGGTGGATAAATAAAACCTTGTGTACCGATAAAAATCCTTATTTTTATAAGAACGAATCAAAGCTGGAAAACACAATTCGTTCGTTTACATTTTGTAAACATCTGTTCTGTGTGTCATCGTATTCACAAATTATTACACTTCACTGATATCACATTGTAATTATACACTGTTAATCTGAATATCTGCACATATGCCAGCCTGATAATATCGTATTTAATTTCACCAGAATAGGTACATTCATTAACAAAAAGATATAACATTTGATAACACATACAACAAGTTGGCACCTTATTTATAACACATACATAACATGATGAAAATGTATCGCTGTATACCAGGGAAGTAGCCAAGGGATTCAACAGATGCAAGAAGATATACGAATTCGATATTTTCATTATTATTATTGATATATAAATAATTTTTATTGGATAGTAAAGCTGAACTTATCTAGATTTGTATAATTAATTCAAAATAGAAAGGACAAAAATTGACGTAGGTAGAGATTATTTGCGTGATATGCATGTGGGGTTTGGTTAGGAGATATAGATTGAACACATCAAGATCACAAGTTCTATGGTTTGGTGGTTCAGCAATGACAAACAAATAACAAAAACTGTAAATAAGATGATCTGGCCCTCCTTTCTTTACAAGCTTCAATTGAAATTCGTGATGATTGTGTTATATAAGTATGTTTGTTAGTGGCTACCTATACCTAACCTAATCATTATGCTCATCAGGAACAATCCATTAGGTATAAATACCAAATACTTTTTCTCTCTCTGTTGTAGTCATACTTGAAGGAGCTCATCAGCGGAATAAGAATATGTTTTTCATCTTTTATGAGTGCCCATTTATATATACAAAGTCTATATATAGAAGGTAACTCTTTTTCAAATATTATGCTTGATGGAATATTTTTATCCACATAATTTCATCACCTGAAAACGGGTCGAGCATATCTCATTTCTGATCCTATATAATCTTGCCGAATCAAGCATTTTTGGACAAAGGTAAGTTCAATAGTTCTAATCTATGCAGGCGACGATATGATGGACATGGAAATCACGACACGAACGCATACATGTACTGATATGACTAGTTCGATTATGTGCAAACTGCCTTTCTTGCATGCAGGTTATCAATTATAATGCGTGCATAGAGAGATCCCGACTAGCATGTTGATCATTTAACGTCCTCATCAGGTTTACCTATACGACCATAATTCCTATCGTAAACACTGATACATCTGCACGTTCCCCATTCCACACCGCCAGACCAAATTGTTGATTCTGGATGTTTGTTCTGTCACGTCGTACAAACACCAAGAAGGTCGACCTAATCTGTATGCTACGCATTCTCATAATCATATTGACAGTTGTGGGAACATACCCATCAGCCAAATCCTAAGCTGCTAATTTAATGGAATTATAAACAAACAATAATGTTCACTTACTACTAAGGCGATCCCTCCAAGACATGGGATTGAGTCCTTGGATTCCAGGCCAGTACAAGCCTCCGGTGCTTCTTCCGAGCTCCACTGGGGGTTTGTTGACCGAGTTGGCAGCATGGTGGTGGAAAAAGGCAGCGGCGGCAATGTTGAAACCTCTCAATCCAGAATTCGAGGCGCTCTGCGAGCTATTGGACGCCATACCCAGAGTATTCTGCGTGAAACCAAGATTATGCGGGAAATGTAAAGGCCCTGTGGTTATTTGCGTGGGCCTCGACAGAATGTGGTCAATGCCGTGGGGATTAGCCCCCTGCGAGCTATTGCTATTACTGGTGGCTCCTAGAGGACTTCTCGACGTCAGACCTGAGCGTTCTACGTGCAAACTTGTACGTTCTAGCATGACGTCGTTGTCACTCTTTTCTTGGCCATGATGGTGGAGGTGTTCTGAATTTAGGTGGGTTTGGTGTTGTTTCATTTCCGTCATGGAGTGGAGAGCTGCCAAAGGCGCAGCTAGCATGTTGCGGTGCTCCAGGTTCAGGAAACTCAGGTTCTGATGGCTGGCGAACTCTAGCATTTTGGATACTGGTGGTGGTGGTGTTACAGACACTTCGGATCGGTCACTGGACGCGTCGCTGTGCTGCGTCATTGCTAGTGGAGACGCCGTGGTTGCAACCTGAAGACGCGATCAAGCCGCGTCCACTTAGTCACAGGGCGATTTGTTCTTGCGATCACAACTACCCGTGGCCCGCCACACAGCACATCACACACTCTGGTATGGTTGACGAAGAGATTCTGGTTGGGTCGAAAGTAAATAGGTATGCCCGTGTTCGGGTCGGTCACTATTGGGTCGACAATGAACTGAACTGGCTCTCCAAAAGACTGTGCACTCACTGAGGTGAGCTTAGTGGGCGTTGTCCACGACGGCAAGGTGAGCTAGTGGGGATGTCTATAAACTCAACTACATGTTAAATATGTGCTACTGGTGAGCTCATTACAGGGGCCTCTATGGCAGTTAGCGATTCGGTGCGTGTCGCCTAGCTATGTGGCTGCTCTCTGCTCTATTTTTAAAAGAGATTAATGCTTTTTTCATTGGCGGGAGGGAGGGACTTTTGGATAGGGGCGCGCACGCCATTGGCGGAATTCAACTTCTCGGGTTACGCCTTCCATTGGTCGCGTCACCGCCCTTCCCCTTCCGGATTCCTATTATCGCTATATACATACGACTCTATCTGGTAAGGAGGTATTTTACTAACATAAACATGTTGTCGACGAAAGGAAGCTTTGACTAGTTAGTTGACTAAACCAACCATGGGTTTTCGAGCTCGTTAAACGTCCATTGTAGCTTAAATTCAGCGGTTTGAATCAATGAATCGACGAAATCTATATGTATTTATCTATATACAGGGTGATTAACCTATAAGGTTGCGAAAAATGATTCAGTGGGTATCGTCATCACCAAATAAGTTGGATTGATGCGAATATAAAAAATATTTTTTCTTGAGTGGTACTTCATAGTTTTTGTTTTTTCTATAATTTCATTTTTATTCGTTTTAGGTAAATAACAGACATGAGAAATTTTGCATCCTTCGTTTATCTCCATCGAGAAATTATTCTGCGGGCGCCTATGTATCTACATACAGAGTGTAGAGTGTGAGGCACATTTAATGATGTAGCAATCATCTCGGACACCATTGTGGCAATCATAATTATATAATCTGATAAGCCAATGTCAAATGGCACTGTTGATCAATTTAGACATGGAGTCACCGTGAGTAAATGATAACTTGCGTTAGATAAATACTTATACTTAAGTGTGAAAAAAGTCAGGAAGTGATTTCTAGTCATATATCAGGAAAAAAGTTCACAAACATGATGATGACTTGGAGCGTTTGTCAGTTGTACAATATATATTGATGTTCATCATACAGGGCGTGGAAAAAATTTTCGAACTTCAAAAGAATAAGCGATACCGCTCTCACCTGTGTACCTATATGTTTTTTCTCGAGGTGCTCCAACTGACTTTGGATCGACTATAGGTGCCTACTTATATGGGTACTAGTACCAAATACGGGAACAATAAAGTTGTAAGTATTTTCAGTTATGTTCAATCTAATATAAATAAGATATAGGTATGAAACTCCTATAAACCAGTGGCGTACAATAGTATTCACCATGAATATCGATGAGGTAATGAAAACATTGATATATACCTATCTATAGAGGTACTCCCTATACATCCCCTGTACATTTTTTCGCAATTTTTCATACACACCCTGTATATCTATGAAAATGTAATGTATCCCTGATGGAGAGGTATGTATCACCTACGTTATGCTACTGGTGTATGTAATTATAGTGATTCCCTATCAGATATTTGCCTAATAGCTATTTTATCAAATATCAAATCCATTCAGTTCATATTCTTGAACCTTCAGAGTTATAGATCTCCACGATTCGAATTTAATGTTCATTTCTCATCACTCTGAGAATGATTCCTGGGGATTTTTTCAATATATCGCCAGACATGGAGATCAGGAGTGGGATACAGCAAGACGGGAAGGGTATCATCTATCTAGACTTCTTCCAATCGTTTGAACGCTCTGACAGCGATAAAGTCGGTTGAGCGCCGTTTGCACCAATACTTCACCTGATGATGGAAATCGCATGAAAATTGAAATAATAATTATACAGTAGAGCTTGTCGCATTAACCCTTGAAGAAGGCTCTGTAAGTTCACGTCAGCTGTCACCATAGCTTCAATACAGGGCATTGAGGTTAGATAAAAAAGTATATTATTTTATATATGGGAAATACAAAAGGATTCATTTTCAAATTCGGCACGCACACTCGCACCAGCCTTATCACTCACTGTGTGAATTCCAACATGAGTTTTATTGACATTCAATCAACAAAATACAACATTTCGTTGAGTTTCTTGTTATATAGACAACATTTTTAATTTTTGCCCCCTATACCAATTTGAAGCAAAGTGTGATACATTTTTGAAAACAGCTCAGCGATAAGGGAGCTCGGTTAATGAAAAACTGGTGTTGACGTCATTGAACAAATTCAGTTCACTTTGTATACCTATCTGTTAATCATTTCAATTAAAACAGTAAATTAAAATCTGATATCGACCTGTTTCTCTAATCTCAAATAGTATCTTTCATTCAGCTAGTAAAGAATATATATGGGTCACGTTATATAGATCATGGATGATGCACTATACCTCAATCCTATACTGGGTGTCACAGGATCATGGTACATAAAACCATTTTGATGAACTTAAATTGGTGATAAATTAAAAAATTTTACATTTTCAATAGGATTCAATGTGATTCAATATGAGTACCAACATGCATGAGACTCGATCAAAATAATCACGGCACACTCGCAGATGGAAAATCAAAAATGAAATTAAAATCAATATTGGAAGTTGAAATGTCACTTAGGTATATAGTATCATTGGATCCAGAAAATCATGCAGAATTCGAAAATGCAATGCTATATAGGGTGTTCTCTTTGAATATCAAAAGTAATTACCATGCACTTTCGGTAAAACCAGAAGTGGAAAATGAAACCTTTTTATGTCAAAAAAGTGACGTTCATCAAGTTAATGGATCATTTCAAATTTCAATCACGTATCTCCAAAACTCGAGGAGAAAAAGAGGGTGTACCATGATCCTGTTACACCCGGTATAACCCATTCAATAATTAAAGAATTTTTTCGAAGAAATTGTGATCTGAAAGGTGACTTAGATAAATTCAAATTTGAACGCAGTTTCCATTTCATCTGATGAAATCTTCCTGTCCGACAATATTTATGTATATATATATTCGAACGAAATCATGTCTTTTCAGAAACACCTCTCATTGAAGAATGTCAACCCATTCAAATAAACAGATTATCAATCAACAAATCAGACATATTATAGTGTAGCACCATTTTTGTCATCACCTAGTATGGAATGTATTGAATGTGACTCATGATGTAATGAGAATAATAGCAAAAATAATGTTCTCCATATATAATTATATGAGATATGGGCATTTTCTAATGACACTATAAAATTTGATCACTTTTCACTTTATAGGTAAGTGTATTCTGAACCGTGAACCATCTGCATTGCATAAATGTATAAGTAAATTGATATGAAGTGCAAAATTATCAGTTGAAACCATCAAATCTCGAAGAAGAATATCGTACTTCAAAATGGTTCTCTCAAAGAAATCTCCTATTTCGCACGTTCAATCATTAAATTGAATATCCACTACTAAAATATACCGTTTCCACATATGGGGTTCAGCACCAAAACATACGCTGATGCTCTTAGATTCCATCCAGAGAACAGCCATTCGCCTGGTGGGTGACGCCACACTCACTCACACTCTTTGACATCATTGATGGAACACCGTAGAAAGGTCGGCGACCTTTCACTTTTCTATCGATACTTCCACGGGAAATGTTCTTCGGAAATCTCTGCTATCATCCCTTCACTAGCAATACCAATCAGACGAACTAGACAAGCCCAGTCAGCACATCCTTTCGTTGTCAACCTCGAAAGATGTCGAACAGCACTTTATCAAGACTCCTTCATCCATAGAACGGCTATATGCTCTGGAATTCATTGCCTGTGGAAGTATTCCCAAAAACATATTATAATCTCCAAAAGTTCAAAAAAAAATCCAATACCTACCTCCTGTCCCTATCCTCCCTAGGAACGCACGATGTTCTTTGAACATTATAGGGATTCCCTTTCGTGCGCTCCAAGCGATAAAAAAAAACTTACAACAAACTGAAAATTCCATGAGAGGTGCAGGATCATTCTATACCTCTCCTTGTGTCCAATGTATTGGTGCAAGCGATGTTATTCCATCAGGAGCGAGCTAAAAACTGCAGATGATGTTAATGGAGGAAGGCGTTAATAGCGTCCTCTAAACTGAAGATAGAACTACTCTGCATATCATTAATCTCAATTAAAGTTGAATTTAGTTATCTTCACACAAAAGCTGATGTCTATTTTAACGACATTTCATGCAAACATGCGCGTTTATGTTATGCTCATCAGAGATAGTATAGTATCTATATAGTTCCATTATTATCCTTACAAGTCAAGTTTCCTTGGAAGTTGATATTTCACTTTCATAAATGTTTCATTGAAACTTTGGCATCAAAGAATGAACAGAAAAATGAAATGATCTCTGATGCTGACCATATATTTTCTTATTTATTTCCAGACATGATCAACATTTTGTTTCTATAACTTGAATGGTTTGTAATATTGAAGGACATGAAAAAAAACAAGGAAAAAAAAAACAAAATTAATGAAATTGATATCACATTCAGTTTAGAGAAAAAATTACAATGAAAGGTACACGTTATAATAATCATTATCTTGTTTGAACATCAAAAATTGTATTCTTCTAGAGTCTTGAGCAAATTTGTCAATTACAAATACCTACTTGTAAATTAGCTCAATCTCTATCCATGTCGATGAATACTAATTAAAGAAAGTCTCTTGAAGTCACAAATAAGCGAATCAGGATATAGGAATAAGCGAATCAGGATATAGGAATAATGCAAATGTATTTTGTTGAGCCCCTGTAGCTACGGAGGACTGGAAATATTCCTGGTAAATTGGAATAGATTTCAAAGTTCTTAATCCGACTGCAAGTTGTAAAACGTCTAATGTGTGTCCTAGGTACGCAAATCACCCTGTATACACCTTATAAACCTATATGTTTAGTGACGCTCACAGAAAAAAATAATTTGATAGCATTAACAGAACGGGTTCTGTATCGAATTTAACGAAGAATTATTTCAGCGTTACAGCATTTTTTTACCATA